TTGAGCTTTTTCAGCTGATTTCTGCATGTATCATTTCACACATCCAGACAACTGCAGAAACTTGTCATAATTTCACATTTTTTGTGTCCGCAAGAAAACAATTTTAATAATCATTAGTATAAAGATGGGGATTTCTGACAATGCAACAGAAGTTTAGTTTGAAAAAAAAGTTGTACGCACATGTAGGCTGTTTAATTTTCTAACTTACTTCCGATATTGGAGAAAATAATTCAAGTTCAGGGTTTATTTTTCATACTGTAGCGGTGAAAGCTAAAGCTTGTACTGGGTCTGCCCCCAGAAAAAAGGATATATGTAGTTTAAACATTCATAATATAGTGAAATGAAGATTAATGATTAGGAAAAGGTGTTGAAATAAAAAATTCATGAATTTGTTAGCTGAAAAAGTTACAAAAGTAGTATGTACAAACTGGCCATCCTAACTAATTTCTAAAGTGTTTTTGACAACTGAGCTTGACAGTTACAGTTATGTCCTCTTAATTACCAGTGAAATTGATTATATTGAGAAGCGGATTTTTATTATACGTTTTACGTGTTGTAATTTGCATCAATGGACTCACTGAATGAATTTGGTTCCAAAGGAGGGGTCCCTGGTATCTTATAGTTGGTAGATGTAAGGAAGTTCTAAATTCAACGAGATGAAGCTACGGTAGTTGCATAAACTAGTGGCATAATTGTAGATTTTAGTGTTCCTTTTAAAAAGCTTCAATGTTTGGATTCAAAGAGTTTTTAGATTTACACGTTAGAGTACGCAAATGATATTTATAAATATCATCTACAGATAAAGTGTTGAATTTGACAGCCAGTCAGAATGATCGTTTGAGGCAGATCCATTTATCAATTTGAAGGATTTCTTCTGATTCATTAATAATTTGTCAAGGGTAGGATCCATGAGTAATTCCTCAGACAAGTACATCATATTGAAGATGAGGCATGGATAACGTATTGTGAATAGAAATTAGAATACAGTGTGGGACAAAATATTTGTGTTTTGTAAGGACACGGAAGGTGCATGAAATAAGTGCAAGAACTTTCTGGTAATGCATTTTCCATGTTAACTTGTCATCAATTGAAAAGGTCATTGATAACTGAGAGGCAATTTTGTTAAATGCTTAGATGGTTAACTCAGTCCAAGTGTTTAGTAATCTCTCCTTCAGCACACACCCATGAAGTATCCTTAGGAATTTTCCAGCCCAGGTCTCATAAAGAAATATATTATTATTTGTTCGCTGCAGTGGATAGCACTCCACCTACCATCCAGTTGTGCCCATCTAACATCAACCGGGAGGTATCTTTGGGTGTTTCAAGAACAACTGTCACCTGGATACCACCGACTGCCACTGATAATTCGGGTCAGACACCCACTGTGTCATCCACTCACACCCCAGGATCCACCTTCACTGTCGGCACAACTACAGTTACTTACACTTTTCGAGACCAGGCAGGCAATACCAACATCTGTCAGTTTGATGTCACAATAACGGCAGGTATGAAATTGACATCATGAAATTTCTGCAGAAAATTGAGAATCATTTCCAGGTGTTTTTGTGACTTCAACCTTTAACATTCTAAGGGTGATGATTTTATGTACTTTTTATCTTTTTCATGCAGTGGATAATACTCCACCTGTCATCCAGCTCTGTCCGTCAAACATTAATCAGGAGATACCTTTAGGTGTTGCAAGTACAGTTGTCACCTGGACAGAACCAACTGCCACTGATAATTCAGGTCAGACACCCACAGTGACATTCACTCACACACCAGGATCCACCTTCACTCTCGGTGTGACTTCAGTTACCTACGTATTTCAAGATCAGGCGGGGAATTCCATCGTCTGCCAATTTGATGTGACAGTGACGTCAGGTATGGACACTATGAGCCAGTTCCAGAGATGCCAACTTGTACGGTTTAGGCGAAATTTTTACGATTTGTTTAGTCCGTTTAGATTTTTACGATTTCCAACGCGAAGGTACAAAACCATACAGTTGTGTATAAACTCTACGTAAGCCAGCATGGAGCCAGCTGGCCTCGCAATGCACATGTCAGAAATGTGTTGCTGGCATCCTGCAGTTTGTGCATACAAGCTGCATCAGTACCGGTAGAAACCAGCGTGGTTGAATAATCTGTTAGTGCAAATTAATGCTATGATGAATACGGGGCGAATAGGCTCGAATGCACCTCATATGCCATGTGATTGTGTATGTCCATGCATGGTATATGTACCGAGATCGTACACACGTGTGTCAAACATCATGATCGTGCTAAAGTTGACCAAATTGGAGTGGAGGACTGTCAAGGATTTGAATCCTGGATATTTGGTGGTCTGGACTTGTTTTGCACCGTGGCAACAAGTGAGCAGAAGCTCAGGGACGAATACACCAAAAAATGGCCTTCATTGCAAAGTCTTGTTGTGGAGAAGCTTACATGTGTTGTAATGCATGTAACGGTGACATGATAAATATTGCCCACGCTAGATCTTACAGCACTGAGAAGCACATTAGTTAGGCCAAGAAAAAATAGTTCTGCTTCCAATTAAATAGGGTCGGTAGGTAAGGATTTTTGACAATTTTTTGTGCTGATTGAATTGGACGAAAGTTACCAAAAATTGCTTCAAAAGTGATTAAAACAAAATCTCACCAAACTTAATGTGGAAATATAATCAACAATTAATTACAATTCACACTTGCACAATGCTAGTCAGGTAAACACAAGTGTTTTGACATGAAAAGAAGTTGATGACAGGTATTCGTTTTGAAAAAAAGGACAGCAGGATTTTTAAAAAACATTGGAAATTTTTTTTTCAAATTTACCAAATGAACATTTTTTGGGTCACACCAAAAAATTGGGGTCGGTTGGGAAACCGGACCTGGAAGTGCCTGAGAATTACACTTTTTCATTTTGAAAAGTTGGCATCTCTGCAGTTTGGTATTTCAAAAAGCCAAGGTCTCTTGGGAAAAGAGCGCACTCTCGATTCAGCTATGGCTGCGCTGATAGGACAGACTGTTGTATGTGTGCTTAGCTGTTCCCAAATAACCTTGTTCTGGGCATGTGCTGTTGGAATACCAAACTGGTTCAGCATTAATTGTTTTGCCAGACATCAGTTTGGTTGCCTTTTTTTCACCCTGTTAATATGCACCGCCCTGTGACTTAACTTTCTAGTGTAGTTACTACCTTGCAAAATGTATGTTCTTTTGTTTGGGGCAGTTATGGCAGAAAATTGGATGCAGAAAAGCCCCAATCAGTTTGTCTCCAGGAACAAGCCCTAATTTAATTGCGCAAAAAGAAGTATGTGAATGCTCAGCGTAGTGTGTGCAGCTTCTTTTTGAAAAGTCTCCCACAAAAAACTTAATTCAGTCATTTTTGAGTGGACATCCTCAGAATGTCCCTGACCTGTGTCGTCAATCAGATTCAGAGATAAGCATTAACGGGAAGTTGACCTAGGTGTCTGAAATGCAGGTGGTAGGGATCTTTCCTGTATCTGAAATGAGCCAGAATACCCTGCCTTTACTCCACTGCATTTGCTGTCTGCAGCGACAACTACTAGACAAATCAAACAAGCTCTCCAAGAGAGCAAACATACTAGCTCTCGGAAGCAACTGTTCAGATAGTGGCGCAGACAAGTTCCTAGCAGATTTTTCTGTATCCTTTTTGGCATACTGTATCACAAATCCCCCCTATTTACCACTAAGTTTTTTTACTCCCCACTGGTGACGCCAAAGGGCCATCTTGCATTTTTCCTTGTCCCTCCTTGGGCCCATGTGTGTGTATAGGTTGGTGGAAGATGTTTTCCTACCATATCTAGAAAGGACTTGCCGTGTCAGTTTCAAACTTGGTGTGTAGGAGCCTATTGATTTTGGACTCCAAAAGTTACAGGTCAAGGTCATTTTATAAAACCAACATTGAAACCAAGGAAATGCTTTTTGTGATCCCAAAGAATAGTCATGCAATTGTGTTTTGTTAAAACATCATTTTTGTGTTTTTCTTTCTTTAGTGGACCTCACTGGCCCTCAGATAATCTACTGTCCTCCTGACGTGACTCGCACCATCCTACGAGGCACTGGTCCTGTCATTGTCACGTGGCAAGAACCGTCTGTGATTGACAATTCGGGTATTGCACCCAGTGTGTCCAACACTCACAATTCTGGAGATTCCTTCTCTGCCACTGTGAGTACGTCCGTCACCTACACGTTCACCGATGCCGCTGGCAACAGCGCCATATGCACATTCACCATATCAATTACTGAAGGTATGGGTTCCTGATTGTATTTGCTCTGTACATTGACTGTAAAGAATGCTTTATTTTCCTGTATCACATGGAACAGATTTGGGCCAGTGAAAATGAAGGAGTCAAAAACCAAAATAAGGAAATAGCATTGTGATTTTTATCCATTTGTTTCAGTCCCAGTCTGCCACAGGAAGTAAAGCATTGCAGCAATGGATATTTCTATAGCTTTATACTCTTACTAAATGAATTAAATTTATTTGACATCTCTTTTCGGTTAAATGCATTGGAAAGTGCAGTTATTAAAACATGAAAAAATTTTGTCCACGCTTTCCTGGACAGTGTGGGCGCTGTTGCTGTGATGTCATGCAAGGAAGACATGTTTCAGTGTATAGGTTTTTCTGTTCAAAATATGAACCCAGAAATTACTGATTTAAAACATTCTTAGAAAGATTGTGTGCTTGCTAAATGCTATGTACAGTACTTACACAACAACAAATCACTAAAGAAAAGAAGATTCGGACCAGTAAAATCTGGAAAACGTTAAGCCCGTTTTTGTGCATAAACCAACTACATTTTAGTTCTTTTGAAATGATATCTCAGTTTTCTTCATGAATATGAAAATATTCATTAGCATAAAAACCAGAAAGGAAGCAAAATGCTGTCTAAAACAGTGAAACAAAATTGAATGTGAGGCTAACTGAGACACAAAGAAGTGCAGTTTAAATTTCAAATGTTGAATTGCAGCTACCCTATTTTGCAGACACATAATGTAACCATAATAGACGAATGTTGCTGTTGAACGTATGGTAATGGTCTTTATGACAATCTGCATTTCTAAAAAATATTTGGAACGTTATAAGGACAATTTATAACAACCTTTTTAAGAAATACCGAAACTGTTGTAACAGATAATGTTGGGTCCTAACATTTTTAACTCAGTTTGGCTACATTAAATTAGAATGCTGTTATGGCAACATGCCCTAGACAGCGAGAAAACTCCATATGGGTTTTGTTGCTAAAACAATATACAAGAACATTATTGCAATGCATTACCAACATTATCACAGTGTTTCAGGGGTATGAATGTTTTTGTTTGCCAGGTTTCTATGTTTCCATTGTCTGTGTTTTCCTTTGTAGTGAATCCTTGCGACACCCAACAGTGCCAAAATGGTGGGATGTGTGTCCCTAGTTCGCTGGAGGCAATTCGCTGCGTCTGCCCAGCTTGTTACTCGGGAGATCGCTGTCAGATTTGTGGGTTTGAGGTTTAAAATTTGTGCCTTCTTACTACGTCATTATTGAGCTGATCTTGCCCAGCCACCACTGATATCATCACCTGCAGGATCCTACAACATGAGTCTGTAGACCATTTTTCTAGTCATCTTGTTTTGTTAAAGAAAGAGCAAATTGAACTCTCTGTTTGCATGTAACACTCACTTTACCAGCCTGATGGTAAGGAACTTCATGCGGATGAAAATGTTGAAGGTTCCTCTTGATTTGCATGATTCTTTAAGAACTTGAACTTAAAAGTGGCTCTAGCAACTTCTGACTCGTATTGTGAAGTTTGGGTCACGCCTCTGAATCTTCCCCGACAGCATCCTTCATCCTCGTCAAACCTGGGTAATTTGATTTCTTTGGGTCTTTCTCCAAATTTCAATAGTCGCCGATGCCTGCCAGTCCAACTCTTGCCAGAATGGTGCTCAGTGTGTAGCTGTGGCAGGGTCCTGCACGGCTTACGAATGCCAGTGCACAGGATGTTTCACCGGAACGTTCTGTACAGAAGGTGAGGCTCTGAGGTCAAAGTTCATCCCAGCAGGTGCAGAACTACAGTGTATATAACCTGGAGAAAACCTGGGAAAGTGTGACTTTTGAGAAACAGCAGTATCTGCTGTCAGTGGCACCATCAACTTTGCTTAATACTCATTTGTTCTCAGTTGTTGAGCTGTTTGTGTTTTTATTTTTTTGAATAAAGAAATGGGTGTGCCTAAGATGTTTTGATGAAAAGATAGGTATCCATTGCTCCCTGCATTGCTCAGGAAACTGAAATAGAGAAAATGGTCCACTTCGTTTAAGTAAAACTCATCAAGTTGCAAAAAAATTGTCACTTATTTTTGATTTGAAGTATTCTCAGCCATTGGTTTTAGCATAAAGCCTTCAAAGAGCTAGGAGAAATCAAATTGCAAATGTCAAATAATGCACTATTAGAAATGCTAAATTTTTTCTTAATTTTTCCTCTCGGCCTAAGTAACAAAGGTTCTGGCCAATAAGATATAAATACAAATCAATATTTTCTCTATTTTATTAAATTTTTGGACTCTCCTGTTTGCTGTTCCCGAAGTTTCAAATTAGAAAATGTGTGAGTATTTAGTGCCTATGGTTTGAATTAACAGTATATCCGTACATTTTATTAATTCACCAGCTTCAAGCAGCTGCGCCAACCACCAATGCAATAATGGCGCTGTGTGCACTGTCAACACCAACAACTGCCTAGAGTACATTTGCAACTGTCCTCCATGCTTCCAGGGGCAATTTTGTGAACTGGGTGAGAGAACAGTCCGGATGATGGACCGAGTCTTGGGACTTTACCGGAGCTTGATCAGACCAGAATTATTTTTGACAAAAGACCTCTGCACTGATTACATTGCACTCTTTTTTAACATGTGCTTCCTCATGGTGCTACTTTTGGAGTGTGGACCTCCTCAGGCTGCACGGAAAAGGGTACAATTAAACAAAGTGTGATATCATCAGTACATAGGCCTATTTCTCATTCATGTCATAAAATGTTTGCCGCACCCCCAAAGTATTTATTTGTTTCATAAGGTGTACTCACCTCGAGGCACAAATCTTGTGAAGGGTAAAGAGCTTTTGATCATAGCAATGTATTTGTGAATTTGTACCAGCTTTCCAAGCAGCAGTTGAAGTAAAAAATATTATATTTCAAAACTGTTCCCACTGTATACAAAAATTTAAAGTAAAGTTGAAATGAAGATTTAGTTTTCTAAAAGGCCCAACAATCATAGCACAGAATGGTAGAATATATGCCCTGTCTTGTGGCCTGATAGCATGATTCCTCCCTGGATACTTCATGGGCACTTCATACATCCAGTAATTTCTTTTTTTTTTTATCACCGTTAGCCATTAATCCCTGCCAGAATCACAACTGTCAAAACGGTGGACAGTGTCAGCCAACCGTTTCCAACTCGGAATTCTCCTGCACGGAGTACAGGTGCCAGTGCCCGCCTTGCTTCATTGGAGCATTCTGTACTCAACGTAAGTCTCGGAGGAATGAAGTTCTTTGTTTGTTTTTCGTTTTAGAATAAAAGCATTCCTGGCCATAAAGTTAATGCATGCCTCTCGTTTAGATTATCTGCAGAACTTGAGCTGGTTGGAATGTAGCTCACTGTTTGGTCTACTCCTCTTAAAGACTATCACGAGACCATCCCAAACCAAGTCCAAGACCACCAGTCTGAATTCACAAACTATTCAAGTGACCTCCAACATGAGCGTTGTTTTGTCATTGTTAAGCCTGTTACTCATGACTGATCTTGTTGGCACTTGTGTGTATGCGGTACTGTAAAAAAAAATTGTACTGAACTGTGATGGGCCTATGCTAAAAGTATAGGAATAAAGGGTTACCCTACTGAAGTTCAGCACGGGTACCTGAGCATTTGTAAAAGAAGTCTAAATTCAAAGAAAAAAAGGAAACACCAAACATGGGAGATGCATTCAAATGGCCAATTTTGTCTTTCCCAAATTGCTTGTCAATAAACTTTAAATTCTAATATCTCTCATTTTCTTCATCTAAAGATTTACTCAGTGATCTGTTCCAATACTCGGCCCTTCTGCCAATGCACCACAATGTTTGTCTCTGTCGTTTTTTAATTTCTCACAGCCCGTGATCCCTGTCAGCCGAATCCCTGCAGCAATGGGGGTCAGTGTTCGGCTCTCTCTACCTCCTGTTTCTCCTACTCCTGCCAGTGCGTAGGCTGCTTCACTGGCTACAACTGCCAAGTGGGTGAGTCTTGCAGCTTCCCTTGTCATCCCGTCCGTCAAAACTTTTTTATGAATCGTCCATGAGGCTGTTGGTTGCTTCGACATAGTACCTTTGAACCTTACACCAATAACAAGGTGCTAGGCTGTACATGTGTAGACGTTCTCTGCCGCAGCCTGAGTTCATAGTTTATATATTCTAAATTTTGAAAAACAGATTTTTAAAGTTGGAAAGGAATTGATGTGAAAACGTATTGATTAATTATATTCTGACATAAGTGGACATTAATTATAATCTGGCATAACCACTATTTAAAAATGTTAGCATTTACATCAGATTCATCCTTTTTGCAGGCAAAGAGAGTACTCCTTTGTGACCCACTCTGTGAAAACGAGTCTTAAGTTGCGAGAGCAACTTTAGAATAAGAAGTCCCTTAGAATAATTTTGCACAGTGTAAATTGATAGGAACCCATAGCATTTTTCACCATGGAGTATCCACTTTCATCAGGATGCCAAACTGAGGGATACGTCAAAACAAAAAACTCAATTTTCTCTTTCCAATACAAATGAAAACTCAAAAAGTGGCTCTGGCAACTTAAGACTCATTTTCACAGAGTGGGTCACATATTTTCATTGCGTAAATAGAATAGAATAAAAAATGGCTTTTCTGACATCACTCCTATTTCTGTATAGGAATACTGTATTTTTCTTATTTACAATTCTTGTTTTATCGTCTATCAGCTATTTCTTCGCCTTGTCAAACTAATCCTTGCTTGAACGGTGGGCAATGTTCAGTAGTTGTTGGAGCCTGTACAACGTACACATGTAACTGTCCAGCTGGGTTTAACGGAGTCAACTGCGAGAATGGTAAGTGGAAAACTTTGAAGCCTGCCCATCTTGTTATTCCTGTTAAGTTTTTTTCACAAGCAGTGTTTTTTTCCGCACAGCAACTTAGAGTAACCCAGTTAAAAAGTCCTAAGTTGGTTAACATCTCATCTTCCAAGTTGGCCCTGTTTTTCCTTGTTTGTGTTGACATGTTCATCATGTTAATTGAATAATCCAATGACCAAAATCAGAAACCGTGACTGCATTGGTAACAGCCTTGTAGGATGTATGTGCTAAAAGACTCTTCATCCGATGTGATGGTCTGACCTTGCCCAAACACCCAGACCTCAGGTTAAATTACAAAGGGGCTTGAGTGTGTTGTGCTGAGTGGGAGTTGTCTATTATGTGTTTGTTTTGATGTAACCTTAGGCTTGGAGACTAACATAATGTGAATACCGTTTGTCGTAAACTTCTTCTTTGTTTCCTGCCTGCAGTGGTGACAGTCAATCCGAATGCTTGTAACAGCTTCCCCTGCCAGAATGATGGTACCTGTCTCACTATGGATGGTGCTTACTACATCTGTCTCTGCCCCAATCAGTACGTTGGCCTCAACTGCCAGTACTTCCAAGGTACAGTGACACAAAGTCTTCATTTTTTCTCCTCAATTTTTAATTCGAATATTTTGGGATTTGGAACATTAGTGGGAAGCACTCCTAGTAGGAAGTACTGAGCGCTGTATACACAAGAAAATGAATTTGTTTTTTCCCGACCGTGGTTAGCGACCACACCTGGTTCGATAGACGCTTGTGCAACATCACCATGCCAAAATGGTGCCAGATGCATCAACAGCTACAACAGCATCAGCAATATCATCTTTGGCAACTCCCAGACCTACACCTGCGTTTGTACGGACGGATTCACAGGTGCAAACTGCGGATCGCTAACAGGTAATGGAATGATGCTTTAATCGCTGCATGTGCACTGTGTCAGAATGGTAGGCAGCACCGTGGGGGATACAAGCAATTTACACAAACCGATGTTCAGTGTTGCATCCACGGGCTGGATGCAGCTCAAGATGCGATGTCACAAATTTGCTCTCTGTAGACTGCATGCTGAACCACCCTTTCGCTGATAACGAAGAGAGAGGCCGGACCATTGTCAATTTGTGTTGCTGCTGTGCACTTGGCACCCACACAAACATCCTTTGGCTTTGCATTAGATGCTAATTTATAATTTCCAGGAGATTGTTTATAACTACGCCTGAGAGGAACACCATAATCTAGCTAGATGGTTGCATGAAAAAAAAAAAGAAGTAACGTTTTTGACAAAACCATTTGAAATTTTTAATTTTTGAAATTTGTGTTGACGTTGTAACTCAAAAAGGTATTTACGAATGGGAGAATAGGTGCTGATAGCATCCATCACCTTTGCCTCAGACACTATAAGCATCCAACCTCTTGATCCAAGCACGTATTTATACCCTTATTTGAAAAAGAATCTGTACCATACAGGCACAACAGAAGTGCACACACATGATGTCTCGGCCACAAGGTTCGTTGTCACCAAGGCATGCAGTCCTTGTTTTGTGGAAGGATAACTCCTTGCTCACTTCCTCCAATTCTTAATAGACCAGGTGTTGCAGAACAATTCAAGTACCAACATATGATTTTTAAAAACAAATTTAACATCTTCGTGTTTGGGGAATTCGGCCCTCTAAATTTTACGCAAGATATCCTTGAATCTTAAAACCTGAATCCTTTGGTAAAAATCAAAGCTGCACAGGATTAACAGAAAGATTTTTTTTCTGCTAATGAACTGAACCCTGTGTCCGTCTACCCACAGTGAGCTTTCCCTTGCTCAACATCTGTCTGCTGGGAACCAAACCACCATGCCAGCGTGGGGCAACATGCTCCAATGCGTACCATAGCTATGACCAAGACGTTGATTATGTCTGCAACTGCCCTGTTGGATTTGTTGGTCACAACTGCGAACTCCAAGGTATTCACCCTGGGCAGGAGAGCCCCCTTATCGGTGAAAAAAGCCATGTTGGTCAGGAGTGTTCATTTTTTTGGTAGCGATGTGACTCCAGCACTTTTCATTTCATAGTCATTCGTGAACCAGCAATGCGCAGTGACTACCAAAGGAGCTTCTGTTGCTAGGAAAATTTCACTGTCGCCTGGTCCAACTCAGAGCCTGTAGACCCAAAGAAATTTGATGTAGAAAAATTTGTTTACTGTTGTTTTTTGAGGTTTTTCAACCGTAATATTTCGATTGTAAAGTATGCAGCCACAGTCTTGAAATTTCCAGAACGAAATTTCAGTTTTCTTTTCTTTTCTCTATTGAGGCAAAATTTGTTCAGTTTTGTGTTGATTCTTATGCTAGTAAGGTCTTGTTCTTCATCCTATTTCAGTACCAGATCCATGCTCCAGTGGACCCTGTCAAAATGGTGGCCAGTGTCAGGTCTTGCAGAACGCCTTCCTCTGCATTTGCCAGCCTGGATTCTCTGGCACAAGATGCGAAAACTCACAAGGTGGGTTGGCCTTTCAATCCCATTTGTTTTTACGTAGTGCACTATGGTCCCTCATTTTCTTACGGTTGAGAAAAACAGGAGGTAAACATTGATTTGCTTGTACTGCAAGCACTTTTTCATCTTGAGTTCTTGGTCACACTTTTCTCTTCATGTTGCAGTGGATAAGCCTAACTTAAAACCTCGTCATATTCAAAACTATCACCTACTGTTCACAGTAACATAAACAGATGGTGCTGTGAAGGGTTACGCTATAACTGACTTTGCTCTTTAGCATCACTCCAACCGATGTGTTGGTTTTGATTTTTCCAACAAACTACATTAATGCCAAGTTGCCAGACACACAAGAGCATTAAATTTTATGAAAATTGCTACAGAGCATCAACATCAATAGCCTACAGGCTATTAAAGGACATTTGACATTCTGCGCAGTCAGCGACATTTTGCACTTTCGTTCTGTGGCAGCCATTGCCTACTGCGATGTGGATGTGATGTTTTAGCACCATCAGGGACCTTGGCCTCAGAGCTGGTACTTTGAGTCCCTCAGGTGTTTAAACAAGATATCCAACATCACAGTAGTCAATGATCATTTTGTTCATGTTGGTCACTAAATTAATCAAACAAGAGTCTTTGTCCGTTGCAGCACAAAAAGTTGTATGACGTGCAGACCCAGTACATTGCAACATCCCTTTGTGTTGGTATTGCTTGACAGCAACATCTTTACGTCCGTATAAACCTCCTTGAGGATAATCTTCATGTTTAGAAACTTTGTACAAAGAAATTAACTTCAAACAAACCTCAACCATTGACCAATATTTCAGCGCTCCAACAGCTGATCCTATTATATACCTGCTGTTATTAAGGGAATAAATGTGTGCTTGGCTTGTCTTAACCATGCATTTAAAACCAGCTCAGTAGAATGGAAAGTCAGTGTATGATGGATTTCCAACAATTTTGTTCTAGAATTTTACTTTCATTTTCCCAAACTCCTATTCCGTTTTATGGTATACATCTTGTGCAAGTTGTCCAAAAGAATCTCCCTATATGGACTTGGCGTGTGCGAGGCAAGCCACGTGCAGTCAGACCAAGAATCAATTAAATTGTCTCATATCCAGGTGCCAGCATGTGATTTATGCAGCAGGCATTATCACTTCTCGGCGGGCATTATCAAATGTTTATATACGGTCAAGTTGCATAGGGACACTGTCTGAGGTATTTATGAATAGAGTTTATTAATATCAAGAGTACATAGAAGAAAGTAGCAGAGGTACAGGTGACTAATCTGGTCCCTGAGTTTTGGTTTAGGCTTTGGGGCTGACTAGTTACTGATATCATATTGTGATATCACTAACTCATGAAATCCAACGGTGAATGCAATACCTGTTTTTATTACCCAATCATATGATCACCTGGGGCCATTAAAATACCCTATACAAGACAGAGGTTTAACCAACTCGTCTTTGGGTTTGCAGTGGACACCCAGCCGCCAGTCATCATCAACTGCCCCAATGACATCTCCCAAACCACTCCCAACCCCAATGGCCAGGCAGTGTTCTGGACTCCCCCCACTGCCACAGACAACGCCGGCGTGCCGACCATCTTCTATCAGTCCCACAGCCCAGGCAGCCAGTTTGCAGCTGGAGCCACCCTTGTCAGCTACATTTTCGTGGACAGCTCGTTCAACTTTGACGTCTGCCAGTTTTACATCTTTCTCATGAGTAAGTAACTCTCGCCACAATGAAAACAATATCAGTAAGGGGCAGCCTATCAAATGGAAATTCTTAAATCTCACTAAATCCTGAACTCATGCAAACAACTAGTCAGACACATATGTTCCATGATGAAAACCTCTCCAAGACCAAAGACTAAAACCCTAGCAGTCCGACAGTTTTCGACTGAGATTGTTTTCTTGGTTGAAATATGTTGAAATAAATTTCAGTGGCATACGCATACATATAATAGAAAGATATTCTTCAAGTGTCCAAAAACTTTCTGCAAATAGGACGGTGACATACAATGAAAATGTATTACCCTGCTGTCTGGCGCATGTAAAAATCTAAGCATTTTGCTTCTTTCATTCTGACTTCCTTGTGAGGAGGTTAGACAGATTTTGAAACTGCTGAATCAGTCAAATTTGCCTTGAATGAAATAACTTTCAAACTTTCAGGTATTCTTCTGAGACTAGCAACATTGTAAAGTTAACTTCAGGACGAATTGCATACATAGACATCACTAATTTTTCCATACAGTAATATATCCATCTTCAGAATGCAAGCCGCTCTGAGCAGAACAAAAGAAGGCGCGTGGTTTTTTTTGGTACTCACGGCGTAGGTGCGCCATGAGGCATGCAAGTATATGCGTGTTTGACGCGGAGCTGACGCTGAGTATGTTTGTAACCACCTGTCTTTCTTTCGCCGTTTGGGGGTGCACTTCAGCCCGGGGCGGACGACGTGTCCAAAAGGCCAAGTTCAGTAGGAAAATATTAAGGCTTCTAATACCAGTCTCATAGGGTTTGTGCACGAGGTAATCAAGTGGTGTCAGGGTACGGAACTCTTCCTTTAAAAAAATGGAGACAGAAAGCTTAAGCTCCAATCTCAAGGCATCCATGTCCAGTTTTAAGTCAAAGTAGCCATTCTTTGTTGTTCTGATGGAGACAAGGGATGCTTTATCTAATTTCTCATTAGCAAACTGGCATGTGCCGCTACACATTAGCAAACAAAATTTGAAAATGAAGCACGGAGTTGATTTTGTAAATCCATTTGACAATGTAGAAACGTGCTCTTAAGGGGCCAACATTTCACTGTAAAACGCGAGTGTTGAATTATTTTTTTTTTCTGCTTTACAACATAGCGGCCAGTGTTGACACTGTTGCCCCAATTATAACTGGCTGTCCCTTCGGTCAGACGGTCAATGCTCCTGCTGGATCCACCACAGCCATCGCCGGGTGGATCGAACCCACAGCCACAGACAACTCGGGTCAGCAGCCACAGCAAACCAGGTCCCACGGTCCTGGCACGGCTTTCCAGCTTGGCTACACTGAAGTAAGGTACACATTCAGAGATGCAACGGGGAACCAGGCCACTTGCTCATTCCTGATCAACGTCGTAGGTGGGTAAAGGTCGTCACCGCCTCCGTGAACTAACACTCAGCTGCTGGTTGGGTACACTTCATGAACACCATGCAATGAGTAATTTTGGCTCTGCAAACTGACTTTATAGTATGTATGCACTCTGTGCATTTTCGTATATAATGTAAAGATTTTAGTTTTTACCATCTTACATGCGAGCACGTTATGGTTGTGCAGTTCAGAGAAAAATTCTTGAAAGGTGCAGTCCCACATATGCAGCTGTTCATAACTGGCAAAATTATTGAAAAGCATATGTGATTTAAAGATAGTTGTGGGATAATTTTTGTGGGAAAGCTGTCATTTAAAGAAAGTTACAAAAGAAAGCCATTCTCAACAGTTTGTCTGAAGATGTTTTTTGGGGAATTGCTTTTAGAAGTTCATTTTAAAATTTGACATGATGTGCACGTGCGTTCAATTACTATAATGCACTGGTTCAGTTTGCAATATCTCAAATCTACTGTCGGCTGAATGAAAGCATGCCCCAGACACTGAGTTGGGGCATTATTCAAAACATTACTCGAAACCTGTTGATTCAAATCAATTCTAGAATTTTTTTGGGGGGGGAATATATAGCATTCACTGAGCTCAGACTTCATAGTATAAGTTTTAAAGCACCATTCAGTAGAGTTTGAACACTCACATTGCCGCAGACAGACATAATGCACAAATGATGGACTTTACCTTTAACAGGTAGATATGAATTCTCTCCATCACTGTATTTATAGGATATAGTTATTACTTAACTAAAAATTGTTATGACTTCAAAATTAAGAACAGTTTCAGTTGTTGAAAACAACAGATGTAAAACTTTGTGTCAGTTTGTGATGTCAGTGATAAAGTATTAGTCAAATACAGCCTTCATTAGCCTGTTATGCAGTAATAGTTGTAGTCATACAAGTCTTTAAAAATCACGAGTCATAAGCCTATCACAGGTAATAAAATTGACAATTATTTAGGTAAGCTATGGCAAGGGCACTGCTTTTTTGCATAATTAATCCATTGTTTCATTCTTTGGAGTTTGCCTTTGTGATTCTGACTTGTAGTTGACTGCATTGCATTGCATTGCATCCACTGGAGCTGGGAATCTTCACGATTAGTTTTGACTTTTGTAAATGGGAAAAGAATGCTCCGATTTTTGGCATGGCCAGTTTTTAAGTAAGGTTCAAATCCCACCTGTGCTGACACATGCGTTGAGTTTTTAATCTTTGTCCAGTTTCATCAGATTCATTGTATCCTGGCATATTTCTCCCTCCTACAACTGCACTCTGTCCCTTGTCTGTTAACCATGGGTGTTGTCAGAAAAAATTCAGTGGCTTGATGTCTGGAAGGACTTGTCTGTTTCACTTCGAAGATGGAAGTGAGAACGGTAAGAACCCTCCCTTTGACCTATCACAATAAGATGAGCATAAAAAATAGTAAAATTTGGTCAACTCTACCCCAGGTCAGGATACAAGCAGCGTGAACGTTGTCAACTGCCCCTCCCAAGGGGTGACTGTCACGGCCCCCCAGGGTGCCACCCAAGCCGCTGTCACCTGGACAGAGCCCACTGCCACTGATAACTTTGGTCAACTGATAACAAACGTCATACGCTCTCACCAGCCAGGCCAACTTTTCAACACTGGTCCGACCCAGGTCACCTACCAGTTCACTGCTAATTCTGGGAGCCAGGGTGTTTGCCGTTTCACAGTGACTGTCATCGGTGAGAACAGATCCTTACAACTATCATGATGAAATCTAAAGGCCAAAAGTGTACATTCCAGGAGGTAACATGCTATGCACTTTGTGCCTATCTGTATTTGGTGTTCCCACGTCCATTTCCAGTAGTAGTGAGGATGAGGAAACTGAAGCCTGGGTCTGGAATGGGAATTGATGGCTGTGACTTTTTTTCCCACAGCATGCCCATTAA